TGAGCGGGAGGAAAACAAATTGTGTCATTTAAACAGGTACCATCAAAGACCCCATACACGCCTTTATTGTACATGGTGGGAAGAAAAATCACGGCTGCGCTGTCCTCGTCAGAGGACACCTACCATACACACCTTTATTGCGCGTGGTGGGAAAGACCCAGTTTTCTCGTAGTTTTCCCCTAAACGTGGGAGACGCTGGGAGGCTGCCAAAATTTCGGGTGAAATGTTGCTGCACTCGTACCTGTTTGAACTCAAAAAAAGGACATGCACTGGGACTAGAACTCAGATGAACTTGAACAGTGGACTTGGGAACCTAAACCAGAACCAAAACTCAAAATGATTTCTAAAGGCCAAACTCAAACAAAATAAAATCAAAATTGGAACCCAAATCCAAAGCAATTTGAACTTATAATTGAACCTGCAAGGACTTGCAAATTTGAACCAAACAGAATGGCAAGTGGAGCTTGAACTACACAAGAGACCTAAACAAGCACTTGAACTTGTACTTGGAACTCGAACTGTGCAGCATCAAGGAACGCAAACTGAACTCAAGCTGGATCCGAAATAGGGACTTGAGTTTGAATGGGATGCCAAGAGTTGAACCCATAATGACATACAAGACTCAAGCATAGGCTGGACCTTGAACTCGGGTCTGATGAAATACATAGGACAAGGGTTTTGGATGAATGAACAAATCAGAGTCTAAATGCACAGTTCTCTAAGTTAACAACAAGCTACAAGTGGGAGATGAAATCCCGATGCACATGAAAGATGTACGAATTTCTACAACGGTCTCAACACATGCCTGTTGATTGAGATGGCAATACGGGAGATCAAAAATGGAGGATTCTCCCCTGCAAACAAGTGCAAATACATCAATACCACCCGAGATTGGTGAAAGGGTGGATTCGATGCAGAAACAATGGATCTTCTACAAAATAAAGAGGTCATTGAATGAATGAAGGCCATTCATTAAAATCTCAAATAGAAGTGAAATGTCGGTTCACTCACAAGCAACAATACGAACTCCTTTAAGTCACTACAGAAGATCTGCAATCCATATAAATCCTCTACGAATACAAATGTATGTACAACATCCATCCATGGGTAGATGCATAAAGACTATAGTAAATGCAGTATCCTGTAGTCAACTTCAGTCTAAGGATGAATATCTACCTCCAACAGTAATGGTTGTATTGCAAAGATCAAAATCACAGCATAATGCATAAAGACTACAAGTTCCTACGAGCTTCTACAACCCAAAGCAGGAGATTAGTTAGTGCACTACAATCCACCTACGAAAAGCAACGAGTAGTGCACGACAGACTACCTGCATGAAGCAGCGAACAACTCTATTCAGAAGCTGCTACGTCATCCACCGGATCTGCAACATTCGTACAAGAGGACAGAAGGCGTCTACGAATACTTTCAAAATACTCCTGCATGTACACTATAATTTGTATACACATAGGTACACTAAAAGGGGTAAATACAATCTTAAGCCACATGGGCCCCGACAAGCGTGTTGTTGGTACACACGTGACGTCTAAGGATGCTGCGCGGGTTATCAAACTTGAACCCGATCATTCTAAGTAGATAAAAGGAGTTGTCAGGGTTCAATTATAAAATGCCCCCAAATACCCGCATGGGCCTCGACGAGCGTGTTATTGGTACACATGTGATGTCAAGGGATGCTGCGCGGATTATTAAGTGAATTCTAGTTCGAACCCGATCCTTCTATACAGATCAATAGGAGTCGACAGGGTTCGATCCTTCAAACAAATATATGGTCGTGGCGACCAGTGCATTTGTTTTAACACATTCATATTAGACTTTCAAAGCCTAAAATCAAGAGAATTCACTAACAAAGGTACAAAGCCTACGAAACCCGATCCTCTGTCGACAGCCCTCCAGAGTTGAAAGATTCAATCCATAAAAAGAAATGACCCCAAACACCTCGATGATGGCCGTGTTGAATGCAGA